TTCTCAAACTCGTTTACGGGTTACGATCTACGTTTATGAGCTTATTATTAAGATGTTATGAGTTTTCTTTACTTTTGAGTCAACACAAATTAGTTTATGTGTTAGATATTACATTTTAATTATGAATTTCATGTAGTTATTCACTTATCTAAAATCTACATACTCACCTTTTACATACTATATGTTGTACTTAACATATTTTAGCTATTTTAGAGGGTGCGTCAAAAACTTACGTTTTTACGCTTTGATTCTACGTTTTACGATTTTACCCATTTACCGCTTCTAGGTAGAATCGCGCTTTTAACTGCATTGATCCCAACGATTCATGGCACTCTACCATGATTGAGGGGTGACCTGAATTGCACTAAGGGATTCTCTCCCTCCTAGGTCATTTGCCTCGAAATTGGAAGATTTGATCGATAACACCCAATTTGCATAAGAATATCTTAATTAATATATAAATCAAAATACTGATTCCCAATAGATTTCACAACCTACAACATTCTAGACTAGGGTTCTTATCATCCAAGTGAAAAGGTGTACTACTCCATAGCTAGATGAGAAATAATAGTTAAGATTGAAAAAATCACATGAGAAAGTGGTTCTTCCTCTTCCTAGTTGCTTGAATGGATCCTTCGAGGAGAAATATGCCCACCACCTGGCTTGAGTAGGTCAATTTCACCTTCTTCCCTTCCTTGCTCGAATCTTTCTCTCTCTAAACTTGAAGAAGAACCCTTAACGCTCTCTCTATAACTCCCTTCACTTTCAACTCACTCTCTATTATATAGTCTGTGCTTGCTCAAATCACGATTTCACTTTAGGCCCGTGAAGTATGTAATGAAACCGTCAACTCAACGCAAAATGAACTGTTTCATTAACATACTTCACAGTCTTGCTATTGACTTCACGGTCAAAAGACCGTGATAATTACAATGCTCCCACACTTGAACATTTGTTTTTCACCAAGCAAACTTGCTCAAAACCAGTACAGCTTGTAGGACCAAAACAATAGTACGCACTATCAATTATCGGTGGCGCCTAAAAAACACTCAAAGTCGAGTAAACCTTAGTTCCATCTCTTCATGCCAACACACACTCTCGGATGAGGACCTTGTCAACTAAGAAGGTCTAGACACTTCACGTGTACACTTGGGGGGACTTAGACAACGTGTGAAAATCAAAGGACTCCATGGTGGTGCTCCTACTTTTTTCAAAAGAGGACTCACTTTTTCGAGCCTCAAATTAAACTTTGCTGTACATGGCACCAATTTTTGAAAATTAAGGCATTTCTCCCTCGTGCTAAGAGCATAAGTACATTGCCTTCTCTATCAAAGCATCATGTGGGAACGTGATGGTTGGATTCATTATCACAAGCACCACTTCCCAGCCCGAACTCATCGTCTCAACGACCGATGAGTTGCCACACATGTGGGTACCAACGAGAGTCTAAGATCTCAATGACTTGCTTAAAGGCACACATTCTCTTTCTCATACAAGTCCTTGAGGAAGAGTGGCGTTTGGGGGAAGGAAAGTAGTGAAAGATGATGGAATACTAGAAAGCTATACGTCCCCAACCTCATCCTCAAATCGAACTCTGGACCAAGAAAAAAGCCCTTCGACAGCTTAACTCAAACACTATGTCTAGTTGCCTCTCACGTGAGAACACTCAATTTTTCAAAAGATTCTTTTTCAAATTGGAACACATTTTGAAAAAACACATTTGAGTCCAAAATTAGGGAGTCACACACACATGTCCAACCTACATAACAAACACTTTCACACATTCGAGAGAAAATAGAAGTAAAGCAACTTATTATCATGAATTTTTTTAGCACCAAACTATTCCCTATCATGCACATAATCACAATCATCAAACAATTTAAAGCACACTAAGTAAGATCAAGCTTGGGACAATTGTGTGACCACTAGAATTTTCAATTTAAGCAAGAATCTAGGTTCCAAAACACATTTCAATATCGGCCATAAATCAATCATTCATGCACAAGTGCTTGGTGCCCTGAAATTGTAAAAATTTTGGAAATCAAAAGGCTCCAAAGGATTCAAAAATGCCATTCACGCTCATTATTCACACGTCAATCATAAATATATGTACACGCTACAAAAATGACATTGCCATAGATTTTTACTAAACTCTCTTCACCTTGGAGAATCAAGTGTTGAACATGGAAGCCAGGGTCCCAAATCTACCGATATCCCGTAAAGTAATGGCTGAAATGAATGGTAGTCTTACGGGGAACGTCCTTATGATGAAATTCGTAAAACAGTCTTCTCAATGGGATTGAAGCAGGCACCGGGGTCGTATGGGTTCATTAGGAAAATCTTCAAATCCTTTTGGGATATTGTGGGTGAATCTATGACTGGAGCTATATGTTATTTCTTTAGTACGAGCAGGATTCTCCAAAGTTTTAATAACCCTTGGATGACGCTGATCCCTAAGGTGGATAATGTGGAAGACATGAGATAAATCGGGCCGATAAACTTATGCCAATTTGTGTATAATATTATAACAAAATTCATGTCTGAAAGACTAGCCCATTTCTTACCATAGATCATTTTGGAGGGCCAAAATGCTTTCATCCGTGAACGACAAATAGTGGAAAATGTCTTGTTAGGGAATGAGCTAATGCACTACTTGAAAATCATAACTCGAGACAATGAGCTAATGTCTTGTTAGGGAAAAGGCCATTGATAGAGTCGAATGGCCATTTCTCCTTGCAGTTTTGGACAAATTGGATTTTAACTCTACTTGGAGAGGTTGGATCCATGAATGCCTCGGTTCAATGTCGTCTTCGGTCCTTATGAATGACACACCATCGGGTTTCTTCACCCCTCAAGAGGTCTCTGTCAGGGGGACCCCCTCCTGTTTTTTATTTGCACTGAGGGGTTCGCGACGCTCATCCGAGAGGCCATTTCAGAAAGGAAGCTTGAAGGGGTTAAAGTTTCCCCTAGAACTCCATGGATTTTGTATTTTTTTGCAGATGACTCTTACTTATTCCTGAGAGGTTCTGTGCAGGAATGTGAGAACCTGATTGAGGTTCTAAATGAGTACGAGGAACTTAGTGGCCAAAGGGTAACTTGGGTAAATCGACAGTGTGCTTTAGCAAAAATAAATCTCTTCCAAGCCAAGATTTTCATGCCCAGATTTCAGAGTGGGGGATGTGGGGTTCCAGGATAAATATCTAGGATTGCCCACACTGATAGACCAATCGAAAATGGCTACTTTCGGATTTTTGGAGGAAAAGCTTGTGGGTCGGCTTTAGGGATGGAAGCAAAAGACAATGTCATGGGCAGCAAAGGAGACACTGATTAAATCTATGGTTTTAGCTCTGCCATTACATGGCATGTCCTGTTTCAAGATCTCTCTCTCTCTCTCTCTCTCTCTTTGTCGACTCTTAGATAGACACGTGGCCAGATTTTGGTGGGGCTGTTGAGGAGGTTTATTCTCGGATTTGGATGTCTTGGCGGAATATGTGTCGTAGTTATCACAATGGGGGAATGGGGTTTCGACGCTTCGAACATTTTAACCAGGCTCTTTTGACAAAAATTGAATAGTGCATCCTAAACGAACCACATTCGCTCCTTGCCCAGGTTTATAAAGGACCAACAGGGACCTTCCCAATTGCGATATCACGGTCTCGTCCATCTTGGGGATGGCAGAATATCATATATTAGTAAAGGAGCTCTAATAGCATATTGGTAACGGGCGGACAGCTTCAATGCTTTACTCCAATTGGATACATCGGTTACACCCCATACCTCTATGTATAATCCCTAGGTGCTGCTAGCGGGTGGAGATCCAACGGTGATGGACGTGATTTTCCAATGGGAGGGGCGGTGGTGTGATGTCAAACTCAACTAGTGGTTTGACCCGGAAATTTGTCATTCCATCAAAACAATCCCTCTTCCTCGTCAGGAGGTTGAGTATATGTTAATCTGGCATGACACGTGTGACGGGATATTCACTATAAATCAGCATATCGTCTTGCAATCTTGCTAGATAAGCAGGTAGGTCAATGGCGATCAAAGACCAGTTGGATGGATAGGTCCAGGTGGATTGCTTGTGGGAAGCCAATATTCCACCAAAATTGAAGGTATTTTATGGCAAGTTTTCCATCGGATCCTCCCAACGACAGAAGTCTTAATTGAGAAGGTAAGTTCATGTGCTACCCAGGTGCCCGATTTGTTGGGCAGAATCGGAGACAATTGAACATTTGTTTCTTGACTTCCTATTGACAAGGGTACTATAGGATCATTCGGGTCTCGAATATCTTGGGCAAGATTTGACTCGTTACACTTTTCCGCTCTTCCTTAAGAAGTTGATGGTCCTTATACATCAACCTCAACTATTTATGCCGGTTGTCGCGGTCCTTTAGCGAATCTGGCAGTCACGAAATTGTGTTGTCTTTGAGAGCAAACAATTTGGGATCACAACTTTAATGCGGTGTTTCACCAGCAATACCAGGAGTGGATTATGATTAAAAAATAAAAAAAAAATTAATACTAAACGAGGGCATTTGAGTCATTTTGCATCACATTTAACGGTTGATTAGCAGATAATTAGACGGTAAGATATATTTGTTACATTTTAATAGTAGAAGCGTATGTTTGTGCAAAGAATTAATAGAGAGACAGGTTTGTTAATTTGCAATAGTAGAAGCGTACATACGGCTATTAATCCAGCGTGCAAAGAATTAATATAGATAATGCCAATGTTAGTTTGGATGATCAGGAATAGGGAGCTTTTGTACTTGGAGGTGGTGGACGATCACACTTTAGAGAGTAACAAAGTTTCCTCTCCTCTTGCTTATAAGAGTAGAAATTTTGATATCGATGGGAGCAACATGGTGAATCGTTTGAGGGTTACGGAAGTTGGTGTATGAACTCATCAACCTATGTTGACCCAAACCATGAACTACAAACACAACCCACATGCAATCTCTATATCAAATCATCAGCTATCTCCCAGCCAAATCATGGAAAGGAGATGAAGATTTATTTGGGATATGCAGTGTAGTATCTAGGAGGGAGAGTAGCATTCGCAATCTCTGAGACTACCAAAGCATCAGCAAGTGCTCTCCAAAGGTCAACATGCAACGAATTTGGTTGGCCTGTTTCCCTCAGGACAGGTTGGAGCCTTGACCATACTTCTTCCTGCCTAGCAGCAACTAGTCGCAAGAACAAGACATCGGTAATGAATGCAACATATCAATGGACATCAAGTGGTACAATTCTCAACTATTTGGGAAAACAACAACCATGCACTTGAAGTATAACAGTCAAAATGATTAATGGTTCCAGTTACATTTATAGATGGTTCTCCAAATAAAAGTGCACTTATACTCAGATAACGACTGAGACAACAGAGAGCTAACTCGGTCCTCATCTCTCTCACTGCATGGACTGGATGCGCTTCATGATGATCAGGGACAAGTCCAAGTACCGCTGACCACAGTTGGAAAGGCATGCTGATTCGCCTGAGCTAAACTTGCTTCCCAGTGTGCTAGTAATGCACTTATCCCAGCACACGCTAGTTAGCTTCGCTACCATCTCATTCATCATGGCTCTTTCCTTTTCTTGCTGCAATTCAAAACCATAACAAAAAGGCAGCAATTGATGAACAACAATTCAGCGGCAGCTTGAAGAGATCACTAATTCCCTCCTCACCTCGCCTCCCCCAATTAATCTAACATCAGAATAAATACGGATAAGCAGAATACTAGGCACACTTGACACTGCTTGTCTAAGTGTAGAGCAAAGCTTACAGAGTAGCTCCAGCGCACCACATAAAGGTGGAAAACTCTACAATTCACCAAGGATAAAACAAATGCATCCATACAACCAATGTAGTAAAAATCGAGTTTGTACGTATAAACGCTTTGGTGTATAAAAACTGAGATTTTGTGTATAAACGCTTTGGTGTATAAAAACTGAGATTTTGTGTATAAGCGTTTTAGTGACCTAGAAACGTAAAATCGTAAGTTTTTAAGTTTTAAAGCACGATTTTGACTACATTGCATACAACAACCGATACTTGGACTAAACTAAACACTGCATAGCAACTAGTATTTCCTAACCCTAGTGATTTAAAGCGCCGAATTCTCTTTTCCCAACATTTGGAGGCATTGTTCAAAGCACATCCTCAGGCAACAAAGCAATGTTCAACAGAGTGCATGACAATCTGAAGCAGTGAAACCTATTGGGTTCACTGAAATTTAATTCAACTTCTTGACGAAGGCCAAATTGGAACAGATACAGAATGAAACAACTACGAAGAAACTACGAACTCCATCGAAATTTTACTGGGGAAAACACTATAAAGGCTGTTGGGAGGAGCTTATGTGCGCTTACGCTGAGGAAACGCTGCAATTCAGCTGTATCGAGCGACGACGGATCCATTGCTACTGTCACGGATGGTGTGTGTTGAGGAAGCAGGACTCTTCAAACCCTCCCTCGACTACTGCAGTTTTGAGAAACCCTAACCAACAATTACCACGGGAGAAGAAGAACAAGAAGCGCCCCTCCTGCGGAATTTAATCAGCGACCGAAAGGAATGGCAAGGAATTGGGCCCACGCTGATTAAGTGGCGCTTCAGCAAAGCCCAATAAGTCATAGAACGAGGTAAGGCCTGTCGGGCTTCTCTTTCCACGGCTCGGTCTGCCAGGAGGTCCGACCCATTTGAGATGTAGTAAGAAGGTTGCTAATTGTCGCCCTTATTTTATATAATCGTCCTAATTTAGAAAATAAAGTTTTTGGAGAGGCGGTGGTCGAAGGTATTGGAGGGAATGGATCAGGTCAGTAACCTTGTGGTGAGTAACCATGAGTAACCCGTCCACATCAGCATGACATCAGCATCCTCTCTCTCATGGAAAACCTTTAATTTTCCACTCTTTAATCTTTGACGGACGATTTCTCGCTCATTTTAAGTCGAAATTTAATTTTTTTTGCACAGTTAGATCAGATTAATTGTGCTCTTCAAAATGATATCCACTTTAATATATTTTTCGAACAAAAAAAATTGAGTCATTTTTTACCAGCCTATACCATATGGTATTGATTGGTATTGAAATAAAAGCATACCTATGTTTTGAAAAACGTACCATGGTGGTATGAACAAACCAATACTGTAGGATGGTTGAATACATGATAGTAGAAGTATATTAATTATAATTTACGACTTTTAACATTGTATACCACACAATACCACCCCGTACCAGGGTGGTATTGTATGGTATTTTTTGGTCCTGTAATTTGTTCACCCAGAAATTTGTAGATCCAATAGATCATGATGAACTCGTCCCTTCTATGCAAATGTTTTCAAAAACGAATTAAAAACGAAGAAGATACCATACAATACCACCCCGTACCAGGGTGGTATTGTATGGTATTGTGTGGTATTTTTTGGTCCTGTAATTTGTTCACCCAAAAATTTGTAGATCCAGTATATCATGATGAACTCATCCCTGCTGTGCAAACGTTTTCAAAAACGAATTAAAAACGAAGAAGATACCATATGGTATGCAGTTGGTACCGAGAGGCCAAAATTTTTTTTTCTAAAAAAATATTGAAAATTGATCTCATTTTGTAGAGCACGGTGAACTCGTTCCATCTGTGCAAAAAAAATTAAAATCCGAGTTAAAACGAAAAAGATATGGGTCAATTAAGAAAACTAGTGAAAATAAAAATAACATTTAATTCTCCATTCTTAGATATGGATTTTTTAAATGAAGGGTCCAGATTTGGTTATTGATGGGTGCATAACCCATGGTTATGCACCCTATCTTGAGCCGGTATTGGAGGAATAAAGATTTTAAATTTTTTTTATTTATTATTTGGTTTAATTAATGAAAAGATAATTTAGTAATTTTACATTTTAAGTTAGGGCGATAATAATAAAATTAGGGCGACGTTTAGCCGTCCAGTATAAAAGTATAATTAAGAGGTTTGTTGCCCTGGGCCCATTAGTAGGAATGGCAATGAGGCAGGCCCGGGGTGTGTATTTTGATTCCCATACTCGCCCCGCGGCAGGTCGGGTCCAGGTCGGGTATTTTATTATGGGGCACGGGTCGGGGCAAGTCGACCCAATGGGTATATAGTTTAGGTGAAAATGATTAGAAATATTCGTTATTTTCATTAAAATACCAAGAAAAAAAATCATAATATGATAAAATGTAGTTAAATTATTAGAAAATTTGAGGTTTTCACTTATTTAAAACTTTATTATAACTAAAATATGAGGTAATAAGAGGAAAATCGTAAATAATTTGACTAAGATTGCATGTAATTTAGGGAAGAACGGGTTGAGAATGGGGCGGGTCAGGGCAGGTCGGGTCGATGAGATTGAGAGGTACCCATGCCCGCCCCGCCCCAAAACAGACCAAACAGGTCAGGTCGAAATTGCCATCCCTACCCTTTAGGGCTACGCGCCACATGACTTCAGCGTTATTGGCTAACTTCCATGGGTCATTTTTTTAAAATGCAATTTTCATAGTTGGTTTAATCATATGCATAACTAACTAACCGTAGGCCATTATGGGGTGGGTGAGGATAGGCTGCTAAATTTTTTTTTAGCATGATGCTAATAATAGCTCCAGAACATTTTATTTTGATTACTTTTTCATTTCAAAGAGTTAGTTAGACCACAATTAATTACAGAATAACAAAGGAAAGACACGCTAGTCATTTTAAAAAATTAGAGGCCGGCCGTCAAAACCGTAGCAGCAGGGAAGGGAGATGTTTCTTTCTCAAGTCTCAACTATGATCAGCCCCTTCCACGCCGACGTCTGCTTCTTCTAGGAACACTTCCTCTTTTCACCTCACCCGTTGACAATTCCAAATTCTCGATGGCAATTCCTCTGTCGACGGAAATACAAACGATAACTCTTCCTCTTTCACACTCATATCCGGCTCCGCTGTCGTGCTTCGTTCGCACTGCCGTCGCCAACCACGGTCTTGAAGTTGTAGAATCCGAACCTGCGCCGGCGACGATGAACCGATTACGTTGGCGGACCGAGGCTGGGCAGCTGAGCAGCTGGGGCGGCGCGAAAGTCATGGACGCCATTAAAAAATGGGTTGGTTATTAGGATGATCAAGAGCTAGCTCCCGATGCTGATGAGTTCAGCAGAAAGAGTAGTGGGTGGAAATGGAGTTACTGAATTAAAGGGAATCTTTTGCGTCAGTTAGCTGAAAGATTATGAATTAAAAATGAATGTTGTATTAAAATTATTTCTTAGGATTATTATTTTATGTTAACGATGTACATTTGTATTTAAATTATTTTGAATTATTTGTATGATCATTCGTCTTTAAAATTTAGTACTCTTGGTCATTTCTTATTTTTGTGGATTGAAAATGAAGTTAAATGACACTTGTTAAACTGAATTGGATCATGATTTGTGTATTACGAGTGGTTATTGCTTCGGTTGTTTATATTTCGTGAAAGAAAATGAAAGCTATCAGTTCGATTAGGTATATTATATAATCGTAGTTGTTGGAATGTATGTTAGTGGCCGTTGGTTAATCGCGCCCCAAACTAACCGCTAACCGAACCGATAAAAGATGGTTAACCAATAAGGCTTATCGGTTCGGTTATCTGTATGAATTTTTTTCCTTATTGGTTAACCGCTAATCGCCATATCGATTACTGTTTAACCGAAATCGAACGATTAGCATCCCTAGATTGGATGATGGATTTGGATTCATTATGAATTTTGTCTAAATTTCATTATTTGCATTATCTATTTAGGGTCGATAAATCTGTAGGACATACATATAAGAGTCCCAATCTCTGGACGCCACAGACTTGAAAATCTCACCCCTTTAGGCGAGAATTGATCATAGACTTTGAAGTAGACATGGCAATCGGGTCGGGTTGGGTATATTCGGGTTGGGGACTTTGGTTACGGGTCGGGTCATATTTGGTTGGCTGATTTTGGGTCAAATATTGACCCAACCCATTCGGTTTCGGGTCGGGTTATGAGCGTTCTCAGAAATAATATCAAACATGCTTCATATTTTCTTAAAGAACACTAATTTTCACATATATATGCATGACAATAGTTTCCCTAACACATGTCAATTAACATATTCTCAAATCCTCATGCGCAAATCGTCAAAAAACAATCGCAAGAGTAATACTACTACAAGAAACACATGTTATTTGAACATCCTTAAACTCCAAACTTGTCATTCAAATCTTTGTGATTTTTTTTAAACATCTCACCAATTTATTAGTGATTTTATCATTTTGGGAGTGATATATAAAATGGAACGGGTCTAATGGGTTGACCCGCTAACCCACCCAACCCGAACCAAAAAAATCATGGGTTATCGGGTTCGGGGCATTCATATTTCCGGTTACAAAAATTTCTACTTTTTGGGCGGTTTCGGGTCGGGTCAACAGGCCGGTTGTAATTTATCATGTCTACTTTGAAGCCCATCATTTTCATTCATCTTAACTACTACTATCACAATCAAAGACCAAGCATAACCAAAGACTGGGTGTAGTATAGGGTAAGTAAAGTAATAAAATATCGAATCTGCGGGTCTCTAGATGTACCGTTACTTTGCTTTTGTTAGTTATCTAGCCAAACAATAATAGTGATAAGAAACTAAATTACTCTACCCACTACTCTAACTAATTACAAGTTGGAAGCTCAAGTAGGCATGAATTCTGCTGGTTCATTCATTTTGTCCATGTTTATTACTTCTATAGATTCATTGACTCGATACTTCTACCACAGAGAGTTCTAGACAATATTGACTCCCGATTCAAGTTATTCAACCCACCTCAATTACACTACTCGGAGAGGCGTACTATACAATCGACCTGGGTAATTGAGGTATTCACAACCAACTCCCACGATTGGGAAAAAACCCAATAAGGCAATATGGACCCAATCAGAATCGTTCATAGACCCACGATGATGAATTGGTAGTGCCCTATTCAACCTAGGAAAATATTCCATCTCTTAGGTCATAAAGCCCCAAATTGAGGGATGAGATCAAGATTCATCAATTGCATGAACTACTCAATTCAATAGATTATCGAGAATCACAATTATAGGGTTTGTCACATACATCAACAATAATCAATCAAACATATAGAACTAGGGTTCATCAACCGAAGTGAAGGATAACTAATTCATAAAGAGGAGAGAGATTATTATACAAAGCTTGAGATCTGCAATCTTCATTGCTCCAATCTCAATCCAAGCCTCCAATTCAGCCCCAAGATCACTTTAGATTACTCTCTCTAGAATCCCCCCTTGGGTGTTCTTGGGTAAAAACCTAGCTCTCACCCTAAAAACCCCACAACTGGTACCTTTTATACAACCCGCAAAGCATGGTTTAGAACAAGGGTCACGACCATGAGAATTAACACCTGGTCGTGAGACCTAACCAAAAATGACTTTTCTCACGACCACTTCAGCACATGTCACAACCAGGTCGTGACGTTGACACTCTGCTCACGATATTGCACATTTCTATTGGAAATTCGCATCATCTCACTAACACTTCAGCACATGTCATGACCAGGTAGTGACTTTGACACGCTGGTCGACTTTGACACAAGCTCTACATTTTGGCTTGTTTTGACCTCCCAATCCTCCCGAACTCGTTCCTAAACTTCCCCCACGTACTAGGACCTGAAATGTGACAAAAGAACATAACCTAGAGTGAAGTAGGCCTAGAAAAGATTATCACCAAGTCAAACAATCAAGATATGAATGATAAAACATGTGTAATTATGCTCAAATCACATTTTGGATCAACTTACCCCATCCTATTTCTTCTCTTCTTATACCAATGAAAGCAATAAAACTCAATTTCACTTCATACAAGTCTAATTAACAAAAATCTATCATGAAATCCATGAAACAAACAATGATGTTTTTCAAGTCCATAATGAACCCAAAACTTATATATCCATGATTTTTCAAAACTCAAGCTTTACCAAAACCTTCATTTTTCAAATCCACTAAGCAAACTACCTGTTTATCACCATCCCAACCACCATCTTCTAACTCCTTCAAATACAATTGACGATGCAGATTGAACGCAAACACTAGCTAATGCCTTTATAAAGGGAACACTGGAGAAGCAGAAGAGACACAAAGACTTCATTTTGCACCATTTCGGTGGAATTGATCATGAACTTTGAAGTCCATCATTTGTAACCAACCTACCCCTCCCCTCCCAAGATGAGGTATGGTTTTCAGCTATTTTGTGTTTGGACGACTACTCAGAATTTTGGTCAGTGATCCACACCTTTTTGTGAAAATGTTGAGAATGTTTTTCATGTGCATATTAGCTTCCGATGTAGTGTGAGATATTCACAAGTGTGAGAAGTTGATAATATGTGTATATGTGTGTGGTTGAGTAAGTTGTGACAATTACAACACGTATAAGTGTGGTATGTAGTTGCAGAGTATGAAAATGTTACTGTGGCTATGAAAAGCTAATGTATGGTTGTGAGTATATATGTATGTATGTCTATGAATGCAGGGATTCAAATAAATTAATTTGCAGGATTAATTGCAAGAACTGTTAGCCCATTACGCGAGTGATTCATGTCGAATTTAATTTTGGCAAAATTTATGAATTAATGTAACACCCGAGATTATTTCCGCTGCGAATGTATGAACAATTTGATTAGACAAAACGTACAGGATTGGGTGTTACACTAGTTCTCTAACCCAAGCCACAAAATTCATTTAATCTAAAAAATAATAACCGACGGTTCTGATTCAACGAAATATATTGAAGTGCAAAACCAAGTGTGAACATAGGCGTACAACGTACGCCAGGTGTACACTAGCCTTTGCCATATATTGTATATATAAATATGGTAATGACTGGTATACTCCTGGAGTATACCATACTCCTTGTGATATGACTGTTAGATCTCATTTTCTGAGCTCCGACCAATCTCAACGGTCAATTAATATTTTCTACTAAATTGAACTTCGGGTTTGATTTTAGAAAATCGGGGTCTGGGGTTTATCGTACATTGGGTAAAATCAAAGGTATGACATACCTTGAGTGAGAAAATGATATCTAGATTCTAGACCTTAAATTGACCAGAGCTTGGCATCTGTTACTATTCCCAAACCCTTAGGGGTTAGACTCTATGATTTAGATAACTAAGACCCAGGGTTCACTCGTCAAGAGTTAGGGTATATTATCATGTCCAAAAATCAAATTAATTCGAGGTCTAGATAGCGTTTTCTTACTTAGTGTATCTATTACTTGTAACTAGGGGCGGAGGGAGGGGGCAATAGGGTGGGTCCCGGGACCCACCCTAGTTTGGAAGGAAAATGACTAAATTTGGTATACGGTTAATTGATTGGAAAATTAGGGTGTGTTTAATTGATAATCATTGATCTAAAGGTCTTGTATTCTAGTTTTGGCGACCTTATTCGTTAAGCATATATAGTATTTGGATTTGTGCAAACTTAAATTCCACATAATTTGATTTTCTTATCATGGAGTATGTTGGTAAATGGTATAAAATATATTATTGAACCTCACCCAACAACTCTAGTTATTGATACTATGGTTATTGACAAAGAACACAATTCGAAAGTGAACAAATAACTAAATCATGAAAAAAAATTATATAAGATTCATTATTAAACATATTTCAATAACATATTTGGATTTGTGCAGAGGCAGGTGATGCATACAAAAAGCGTGGAGTTCATGCCTTTCACGCTCTCTTTTTTCCTCTTCCTCAGTGCCACACTCTGGCTAGCTTATGGGCTCTTGCTGCATGATTACTATATCATGGTATTCTGTGATTAATTTTAATCGTCTGTTTAGTTATTTGTTTTTTAAGAAAAAAAATAACTAATGAAATGGTTGCAGATTCCGAATGGAGTGGGAGTTGTGTTGGGGATGGCTCAAATGATTCTGTACGGATGCTACTGCAAGGAGAGGAAGAAGGGTAGTGTTGAAAACCAAAATGGGAATGCTGCTGCAAGTGGTGGGCTCAGTAGCTTAGAGGTGGAAAGCGGCTGCTAGTTAGTTTCGGCCCATTCGAGTGGGTTGTTGTATGCTTGCGCCCATTGGGCTCTTAGTATGACATAGTATGGATAGCAAAGCAAAAGCCCCTTTGATTCTTCAGTATGGGCCCAAAGTAGTTGGTTTCTTTGGGTCTTTGATCATCGGCTTATATGCTTAGTATGTGGGTTGTTTCTCTTGCTTGATTATTATGACTTATGAACTCTTCTCTAAAAGCTATATTTATCGTCCCAATTTTCACGATTCAAGTCGGGCCCGCATACCCCGAACCATGAAATGAGCCTTTCTAGTTTCTGTTGGGGGAGTCCAGTCCAGCTCCACATCGACTCATGTTCGGAATAGCTCCATAATCACCGGGCCAATACTACGGTGTCGTTGTAAAAGTTGGGACACCGGTGATGAGACTTCTTATTAGTCCACGCGGATGTGACATGACATTGATTTTATTTAATCAATCTCAAGTCTTAACCAAACTCGGAGACGACCCATTAGAAATGGCCCAAACGGCTGGTTCCAAAGTAACAACAAAAGATTTATTGTTCAACTCTTTGCAATTATTTATTTTATTGATTAAATTAAAAAGAATGTAAGATGTAACTGACTTTTCAGGAAAATCAGAAAAGAACAAATAGTCCTACCTAATAATAATTAAAAAGAAAAAAAAAAAACAACCCACATACTAGCTGCAGCTAAGGCTAGATGTGATGCTTAAGGGAACATACCTTAATTTGAATTGAACTAATTGATGCTCTTCAAGTGTGCTCGAGTGCACTTCAGAATGGATCATAAGAGGAGATTTAATTGAACTAAATGATGCTCCTCTAGTAATACTTTTATGTGAATTTTCCTTTTTGAAGTGCCTAGACTGACTCTCTGTTACTTTGTTAGAGACCTGAGGTATCTTACTGACACCATGAAAGCTGGAGGTGAAGGACAACAACAAACATCAATTGGTTGTGAATGTTCAAACCTATTATAAACAAGTAGCCACATACTTGTAGTTCTTAGTAATTTACTTATGGTGAAATGATTGTCTCACTCAGCTACAAGCTGATCCTCTTTTATTCTTTTCATCTGCTTATGTCATGCATAAGCATATCATTAGCAGCAGTAGCAAAGTACATAGGTGTGAGCTGAGCTAGGAGTTGAAGCCAAGATGAGGTATGGTTTTTAGCTATTTTGTGTTTGGACGACTACTCAGAATTTTGGTCAGTGATCCACACCTTTTTGTGAAAATGTTGAGAATGTTTTTCATGTGCATATTAGCTTCCGATGTAGTGTGAGATATTCACAAGTGTGAGAAGTTGATAATATGTGTATATGTGTGTGGTTGAGTAAGTTGTGACAATTACAACACGTATAAGTGTGGTATGTAGTTGCAGAGTATGAAAATGTTACTGTGGCTATGAAAAGCTAATGTATGGTTGTGAGTATATATGTATGTATGTCTATGAATGCAGGGATTCAAATAAATTAATTTGCAGGATTAATTGCAAGAACTGTTAGCCCATTACGCGAGTGATTCATGTCGAATTTAATTTTGGCAAAATTTATGAATTAATGTAACACCCGAGATTATTTCCGCTGCGAATGTATGAACAATTTGATTAGACAAAACGTACAGGATTGGGTGTTACACTAGTTCTCTAACCCAAGCCACAAAATTCATTTAATCTAAAAAATAATAACCGACGGTTCTGATTCAACGAAATATATTGAAGTGCAAAACCAAGTGTGAACATAGGCGTACAACGTACGCCAGGTGTACACTAGCCTTTGCCATATATTGTATATATAAATATGGTAATGACTGGTATACTCCTGGAGTATACCATACTCCTTGTGATATGACTGTTAGATCTCATTTTCTGAGCTCCGACCAATCTCAACGGTCAATTAATATTTTCTACTAAATTGAACTTCGGGTTTGATTTTAGAAAATCGGGGTCTGGGGTTTATCGTACATTGGGTAAAATCAAAGGTATGACATACCTTGAGTGAGAAAATGATATCTAGATTCTAGACCTTAAATTGACCAGAGCTTGGCATCTGTTACTATTCCCAAACCCTTAGGGGTTAGACTCTATGATTTAGATAACTAAGACCCAGGGTTCACTCGTCAAGAGTTAGGGTATATTATCATGTCCAAAAATCAAATTAATTCGAGGTCTAGATAGCGTTTTCTTACTTAGTGTATCTATTACTTGTAACTAGGGGCGGAGGGAGGGGGCAATAGGGTGGGTCCCGGGACCCACCCTAGTTTGGAAGGAAAATGACTAAATTTGGTATACGGTTAATTGATTGGAAAATTAGGGTGTGTTTAATTGATAATCATTGATCTAAAGGTCTTGTATTCTAGTTTTGGCGACCTTATTCGTTAAGCATATATAGTATTTGGATTTGTGCAAACTTAAATTCCACATAATTTGATTTTCTTATCATGGAGTATGTTGGTAAATGGTATAAAATATATTATTGAACCTCACCCAACAACTCTAGTTATTGATACTATGGTTATTGACAAAGAACACAATTCGAAAGTGAACAAATAACTAAATCATGAAAAAAAATTATATAAGATTCATTATTAAACATATTTCAATAACTCGAGTTATTGATAGTAAACAATTATTGACAAAGAACATCATTTGAAAGTGAACGGATAACCAAATTATAAATACATATTTGGTACATAGGAATAGTGATATTCTTAATAGTTTGACTATTAATGTATTTTACTAAAAAAAAATTAATATAAGAATATATTACGAATAATTAAAAAATTTAATAAAAACTATTTCATTATGTATATTTTTCAAAGAGGACCCACCCTAGTCGAAATTCTGGCTACGCCCCTGCTTGTAACCACTGTGTACTTATCCCTCCTGCGTTCTCTATACACTTTGATTATTTATACCCTAATGAACAACTCACAACTCAACGTATGGGCTAAATTCGCCAAATCTTCACATTTAAATGTGTTGCAAAATTAGTCATGAAGGTTTTAAATTCTCAGTTATGATCCATATAGTATATAGGAGACTGCTGTTAGCCGTCAATTATCTATGATCCACCCATAAATCAGCTACTGAGGCATCACATGCATCTTTTTGTTTATGTGGAGAATGATTGCAATCGTTAACCGGATAGCTGAAGAAAAAGAAAGCAAAGCGTAAATGATGAATAAGTAGCTAAGAAAGGACAACAAGGACAATGACTTTTAAGATGCATACCATTGAAATGCTAGCCGGATAACTAAAATATATATAGGAATGACAATGTGGTATCTTTATATTTATTATTATGAGGTATGGTTTGGGATAGGGCTGGCTATTTGGTTCCAGACTGTTTGGTTTTATGCGAAATCGGATCGTATAACCCGGATCGGGACCGGGCTGGGACCGGATAGCAAACAATGCAATCTCATATTCGGGCTTAGATTTGAGGTAAAAGACCGGATAAATACCGGATACGAGACCCCCAACACCTAAAATCAAGATAAAATTGGGACCGGACCGGATCAAGACCAGACTGTATCCAATCCAATCTTTGGTCCTTATATTCTCGAAAAGATCGAACTGGGACCGGATCAATTTGATCCAATTTAATCGGACCGGACCGTATAGCCACCCGTAGTTTGGGAGATGTGGATCTATAGGACTAAGAAATTTAAAGATAAAATATTAAAATATTATTTTTTTTCATTAGAAAATCTAAAAACAGACTATTACAGCATAAATATAGTTAATTATTTGAGAAATTGATGTTCTGACATATTTACAACTTCACTATAGCTAAATATGAGGTAATAAAAGTAAAACTCTAAATAATTTGATTAAAACTACGTGTAATTTAGACTGAAACAAATCGAGAATATGACGGGTCAGAACAAGTGAGGTCAGGTGAGAGTACCCATACCCACCCTAAAGCAGGTCGGATAAAATAGATTAGATCAAAATTGTCATCAAATGAAGATTAATTAGATGATGATAACATAACAAAGTAAAGCACTTTAGTACCAGACATAAAAAGAAGATGGATCGGGGGATACTGATTATTATTATTATTACTATATTGAAGTTGGCCCATGCATCTTTCTGTTAACTCATGTGGAAGTGTCATCTCATTAGAAAAGATTATGGGGATCTGATCTAAACGTAATTAAAAAGACAAGTGTAATACTGGGTGGGTGGATGATGCATGCAAGCATGAATGCGCCTTTCATTAGCTCGCAGTGTCCAGATGTAACCCTAGGAAGCTAACTCTGAATCCCATACACGCGTGCCTCGCAGTCACAAAAAGCTCTACTGAGATAGAACGCATTAATTGGGTTATAACTCTCGAATATCTGGAATCAACGGGGAAATTAATTAGTGCATGAATACCTCATATGCTCTCTCACACTTCTCCACCTAGCGAAAAATTCATGCGACAGGGAAATGTATACCAGTAAGCTAGTGCAAAGAAGACCTCCCAATCTTTTAATTCTGCATAACTTTTGTTGACCCTACCTTTTCCCTAACCTTTTTCCACATGAGCTTCTCATATAATTTGATTTCACTTCATGTCGAATAATCAACCGGCTGCCAGATTGAGACAATAAATTAAATGTGTCAATTGATCCCTACAAATTATATGAGAATTGATTCGGTATCCACTTCAATATGTTTCGCTGAATCAAAACCGAAATTTAATTTAATGGAAGGAAAACTATAATCGACAGTTGAAATTGGTCAGACCTCATCTAAGTACATCTAACAACGTACACGTGGAGTATACTATACTCCTGGCGTATATCAATCATTACCATATATATATGGCTACTTCGATACACTCACTTTTTTGGGTGCATTCAGTGCACTCAACTCTAAAAGTGGTAATAATACATCGAATTTGAATTTTAATGGGTTGCAATAGTCTAAGATGATGATATAATATAGAATCACAACTAATCAGTCCATTATCATAACCCCTTGACCTTCCATTTTGAATTCCAACCCAAAATCCCAAATTGTAAACCCTAATCCTAGATCCCTAAACTCTAAATCATTCAAATTAAAGTAAATCTTGAATAATTTTTGTACAAATTCAAGTGTTTCTTGTTCATCAATCCACAAGTTTTGACTGATATCATTTT